ATCCATTCATATAGTCTGTTTCTTTTGACTGGGGAGTTCAGCCAGTTAATAAAGTTATTAATGAAAGATGAGTATTGCATCCTGTCATTTTTATTTCTATTTACATTCATGATGTAGCTGTACTTTTCCACAGTTATACCTTCATTGAATTTCTTTCTGCAATTCCTTGGGTCTCCTTCAACTATAATAGACATTTTGGCTGGGTATAATACTCTGGGTTGGGATCTGTGGTCATTTAGAGCTGGCAATACTTTGGTCCAGGCTCTTCTGGCTTTCATAGTTTGCACTGAAAAGTCAGCTGTAATCCTAATGGGTTTTCCTTTATATGTGACTTGTTGTTTCTCTTTTGTAGGTTTCAGAATTGTCTCTTTGTTTTGTTCGTGTATTGTTTTTACTATGATGTGCCTTGGAGAGTTCCTTTTCTGGTCCTGTCTGTTTGGTGTTCTATATGCTTCTTGTATTTGTATGGGCATGTCTTTCTTTAGTTTTGGGAAATTTTCTTCCATGATTCTGTTGACGATCTGGTCCATTGCCATTATCTTGGGATTCTTCTCCTCCCTGTATGCCTGTGATTCATAAGTTTGGTCTTTTTATGGTATCATACAAGTCTTGCATTGTCCATTCTTGTGATTTTTTAAATTTTTCATAATCTTTGCTTGAGTGGTCTAGTTCGTGCACTTTATCTTCTAGTCTTGATATTCTGTTTTCCATTTCATTCATCCAATTGTTGAGGCTTTCTCCTGTAATTTCTAATTGGCTTACTGAGTGTTTCACTTTCTCTTTCATTTCAACCTGAATATTCTTCAGTATTTCTCTTTTCTGAATTCATTCAGAAGTTTATCTGTATCTTCCTTCAGTTCTTTGATTTCTTTGTTCTTTAAATTCACTGAAGTCTTTTTATTGTTTTTATAATTGTTCTTTTGAGTTCCATGTCCTGTGTTTTCTCCAGGGGGTTCTCATTGTACTCCTCTAGAGGACTGTTGGTACTTGGTGGGGATATATTATTTTGGTCTTTGGCATGTGGATTTCTTTTGTAGTTTCTGATTCTTGTGTGAGATGCAAGACTTCCTTTGTTGAGTTAAGGTCTGTTTCTTTTTGTAAACTTTTCTTTTTGTGAACTTTATGAGTCTTTGTGGTTTACTTTTTGGGCATGAAATGCTGGTTCCTCTAAGCTTCCAGTTCTCTCTTGATTTTTTATTGGAGTGGCCAGATTGCTTTTGTCTTCAGGAGTTCCCACAGAGGCCCAAGTCAGATGAGGCTCAGATGCTCTCAGGCTTTCTCCTATGGTCTGGATCCCTCCAGGATAGATTTTGGCCTCAGAAATTCGGGGGTTGGACTGGCATGGTACCCAGACCCAGAAAAAATGTTGGTCTAGGGCAGCTGTTGGCCATGCCACCCAGAGATGCAAAGGAAGATGGGGTTGGAAGGTAGCCCCAAGGGCCCCTAGGGACTGCACTGAGGTGCTGGGTTGGTCTGGATGCAAAGGACCTGGAAGAGGAAAGGTCAGCTCAGGTGTCCAGGAAAGAGGTTGGTGGGTTATGCAGACCCGGGGAGGCAGAGGGAGATGAGGGTGGGGCCAGGCCCAGAGTGCCCCTGGGGACCCAAGAAGGAACTGAGTTGCTCTGGGTGCACAGGATCAGGAAGCAGTGGTGGTTCTCCAGGTGTCCGGGACACCAAGACAAGGAATGGGACAGGACCCAGGCTAGGAGGAAAGACTGGCAGGGGAGATGGGAGGGTGAGTGAGGCTGGGGGAGTCAAGGCGTGGAGGGCCCAATTGACTTACCCTGGAGAGAGAAGCCTGGGGGTTGGAGAGACTTTTTGATCTCTTTTGAGACAAGATCTCCCTGTAGTTCCCAGCTGACCTGACCTGGAACTCACTATGTAGACCAGGCTGGCCTTGAACTCACAGAGATCCTCCTACCTCTGCCTGCCAGGTTCTGGGATTAAAGGTGAGTACAACCACACACAGCTTTTTTTTTTTTTTTTTTTTTAAAGACAGTCTTTTCCTACTCAGAAACTCTAGGTACCACTGTAGGTTGATTGGACTTTCTTTTTAAGAAATTTGTATGCTGGAATTTAGAGACTGTTTTTCTTCCTCAGAAACATGGGGGATTATGAAATCCTGAGACTATTTCAAGTTTCTCTTTTAGATATAAATAGTATTCAGATTATGGTTAACTGAAAATAATTCGTACGTTTACAGTCTTAGTCTTTTTAGATGATTCCTGGTGGTAGTTAACCGCCTAGTTATGTGCTATTGAGATCATAATTTCCAGTTTGTTGGTTAGGCTGTCTGCTTCCCTCAAGATCTGAATGTCTTGAATACTGATGACTCATTTAGCAGATGGTTTGTGTGGCTGCTTTGTCAGTTCACATATTCCACGGTGGTTCTTTCGAAGGTTGATGATTGAATAAAATGTGGTGACTAGGTAGGATTTGGAGGCTTGAGGAATGTTTAACTATAGTCTCTAAGTATGATTCTAAGTATTAACTATAATGTGCAGGATAAAATAATGCAGTGTTAAGTTTGACTTGAATATGAATTCCATATCAAAAGAATAAGGTTTGGGGAAGGCTATTTTAAATGTGACTGCTGTTTCCTGAAATTGATTTTTCATTTCTCATGTTTCTACCTTGAATGTAGCGTTGGTTTACAAAGCTACCTCCAGTGTTGACCTTTGAACTCTCCAGATTTGAGTTCAATCAATCTCTTGGGCAGCCAGAGAAAATTCATAATAAGCTGGAATTTCCTCAGATTATTTATATGGACAGGTGAGTCTTTCATCAGTTGACTGAATGATGTTAAGAAAAAAAAAGAAGTCTGTTATACTATGCAAATTTACATTGTGAATCTGAGTTGGAGTTTGTATTTCTGAGAAACTCCCAGAGTAATGTAAATGGTATTTCTGAACTTTCTGGTCCCCAGATTTGAGTAGCTGAGCCTGTGCTCCGCTCAGAATGTAAATCATAACTTGTCTCCATGGATGCTATAAACCAGTAAAGAATACAAAGCAAGTGCTAATTTACCTAGTAATTAATATTAGCAAAGTGAAACTGCCTATAGACAAACCCATAGGAATATCAAAGAAGTTTATAATTATATATAGGTTTCTGTTTCACACCCAAATTGGAAACATAGCTTCCTTTCACTTTGACTTTTAAAAAAAAAATCCTCTTTACACCCTAACCATGCACAAAGTGGGAGATGCTTGCTATTCCTAAGATCAACAGATCAGTTTGGGGAGAAATGGCATCTTAATGCTGTGTCTTTCACCTTCTGTGCATGGTGTCCTCCATTTCATTACATCTTCCTGCATTGTTCTCAGTGATGCTTTGAAGTTTTGGTGTACAGGCCTTCCATAAGTATGATTAAATATATCACCAAATAAATCATGTTTTTGATACCATTAGGTGTTTCTTAACCTGTGCTTCCCATTTATTCTTTATGAGCGGAAAGAAGAAGTTGACCTTATTTACTAAATTGACATTGTGTCTTTTGGCTTTACTAAACTCATTTATTCTGATATAGTTTTGTGGATTCCTTGAGGTTTTTATTTTATTTTATTTTATTTATTTATTTATTTACTTTTGGTCTTTTTGAGACAGGGTCTCCCTGTAGCCCCAGCTGTCCTGGGGCTCACTATGTAGACCAGGCTGGCCTTGAACTCACAGAGATCCACCTACCTCTGCCTCCTTAGCGCTGGGATTAAAGGCTTGCGCCACCACGCCTGGCTATTTTATTATTTTTATTTTATGTGTGTGAATGTATTGCCTACATGTATGTGAGTGCACCCATGTCGTGCAATCAGAAGAGGGCTTCAGATTCCCCTGGAACTGGAGTTAAGGACGGTTTGTAGCTGCCATGTGGGTGCTGGGAATTGAACCCGGGTCCTCTGCAAGAGAGTCAGTGCTCTTAACCGTTGAGCCATCTCTCCAGTCCCACCTTGAGGTTTTTCTAAGCAGACTATTATATAATCTGCAACTAAGGACAGCTTTTCTACCTCCTTTACAATCTTTATCCCTTTTATTTCTTTTCTTCCCTCATTGTACTGGCTTCACATTTGTAAAACATGGAATGGAAGTGAGGAGTGTGCTCTTAACCACTGAGCCATCTCTCCAGCCCCAAGGACCCGGGTTCGATTCCCAGCACCCACATGGCAGCTATGAACCGTCCTTAACTCCAGTTCCAGGGGAATCCAACGCCCTCTTCTGATCTCTGTGGCATTGCACAACATGGGTGCACTCACATACATGCAGGAAATACACTCGTACACATAAAATAAAAATCATAAATAAAATATTAAAAAAAGATGAAGAGCCATGAAATTTGGAGACCTAACAGAGGAGACTAACCTTCTATAGCTGGGTCACAGCAAAAACAAAAAAAGCAAGGTGAATACCTTCAAAAAAGGGAATATTAGAGGGTTAAAATCTAAATATTTTTTAAAAAAGAAGAAGAAGAAGTGAGGAGTGTGGGCATCCTTGCCTTGTGCCTGACCCTGGAGGAGTGTGTTGCTCTTTCACTTTGAATGTAATGTTGGGGCTTGGGATGTAGCCCTGGGCTGGAGCCACAGTACTACATTAAACTGGATATGGTGATACCTACCCTTGTCATCTGGGCACTTTGGCTGTGTAGGGAGTTGGAGGCCAGCCTGGGTCTTATAAGATTATTTCTCAAACCAAAAAACAAGTACAAATTTTAAAAAGTATAATATTGGGAAATTTTTTTTTTGGAGACAGGGTCTTCCTGTAGCCACAACTGGCCTGGAACTCACTATGTAGACCAGGCTGTCCTTAGCCTTATAAGGATCCAACTGCCTCTGCCTCTGGAGTGCTGTGATTAAAGGCCTGTGCCACCAGGTCAACTATATTGGTGTTTTGGTTTTTTTTCTAACTGTCCTTGATTTGCTTTGAGGAGGTTGTTATTTTGCTAAGGCTTTGTCATTAGTGTTTTCTAATCTAAACTGTATCTGTGGAATTATCATTTGTGTAGGTACATGTACCGGAGCAAAGAGCTCATTCGAAGTAAGAGAGAGTGTATTCGCAAATTGAAGGAGGAAATACAAGTTCTGCAGCAAAAATTGGAAAGGTGAGTCTGGGCATTTTTGTGTTTGGAAACGTGAAACAATATAGAATTCTTTCTTCTTATTTATTATTTACTTGTATGAGTGTTTGCCTATATGCATATAAGTGCACCTATGCCGTGCAGTGCCCATGGAGGCCTGAAGAGGGTGTTGGATCCCCTCGAACTGGAGTTAAGGATGGTTGTTTGCTGTCATGTGGGTGGTAGTAACTGAACCCAGGTCCTCTGCAAGAGCAGCCAGTGCTCTTAATCGCTGAGCCATCTTCTCCACACAATTTAGAAATTAAGACCAGAAAATTTGTTTATATTTTAAAATTTAGAGCATAACTAATAACTAGTGTTATTTTATAAAACAGCCAAGATTTTCTTTTCTAAGTGCAAAGACGTTTTCAAGGCCAGCTTATATTATCCATGGATAAGTAGTCTTGGGGGTGTAAGGGACTCAAAGGCTGGCCTCAGACTCAAAAGAGCATGATCCTGGTTCTCTGCCTCTGCAGGGTTAGGATTACTAATGCTGTGCTGCCCCCACCCCCACCCCCAGCTGGGTTAAAGTGCTGATGCTTCAGATGTATACCAAGTTTTGCTGGAGACTCTGCTTTTTGTTTGTTTTGCAGAATCACTCTGATTTCTTTAGGCAGAGCCTATATGATTTCTTTATAGTCTAAGTAGATCCTTGAGTTTAACCTTCACAAAGGAAACCCCACACACCATCAGTGGCTTTTTCCCATCTACTTAGCAGACCCTCCTATTTCTGTCCTGCTTTTCCCACTGCACTGCTAGATCATTAATTTCTCAGAGGGGCACATGTTCCATCTAGGTCCAAGATTGGAGCCTGCCCTATAGTTCCTGCTCTCCACCCATGCCCCTCTCGCTCAGGGAGATTCTCTCGTTACATATCTATTTTCTGAATAGAAACTGAACTGAAACTGGAGTCCTCCAATTTCATCCTGGAAGTGATTTGTAGGACTTGAAACGTAGCAGTAGTTTGCCTCATATTCCATAACATTGGAAAGTTTTAACTTTTAAAATTATTTGTGTGTGTGTGTGTGTGTGTGTGTGTGTGTGTGTGTGTGTATGTGTATGTGCCATAGAGTACTTATGGAGGTTACTGGACAGCTTGTGGGAATTGGTTCTCTCTTCTACCTTTACATGGACTCTGAGAATCAAACTCAGGTCAATTAGAAAGCACCTTAATCAAGATGGCCCAGTTATTTTCATAGCACCCAATGTTTCATATTCAAAGAAGTCAGGAATCAGTAAGACTGTGGGAGCATTTTCCTTAGTATATTATTGTTTTCATTTTTTTAATATTTATTATTTATGTTATGTGTATGAGTGTATTGCCTGCATGTAGGAAAGTGCACCGTGTTGTTCCATGCCTGCAGAGGGCAGAAGAGGCCATCGGATCCCCTGGAACTGGAGTTACGGACAATTGTTAGCTGCCATGTGGGTCTGGGATTTGAACCCAGGTCTTCTGCAAAAACAACCAGTGTTCTTAACCGCTGAACCATCTCTCCAGCCCATTTATTTTCATTTTTAAAGCTTTATTTCTAATTACATATATGTGTGTGTCTTTGTGCATGTGAGTGCCTGCAAAGGCCAGTAGAGGGTGTTGAATCCTCTAGAACTGGAGTTACAGGCAGTTGTGCACAGCCTGAGATGGGTGCTTAGGACTGAGCTTAGGTCCTCTACAAGAGCAGTACACACTCTCACTTGCTGAACCCCTACTCTAGCTCCGACATTCATTTTAAATGAGGTGGGGTTTGTTTGGTTGGGGTTTTTTTTTGGTCTTTTTGAGACAGGGTCTCTTTGTAGCCCCAGCTGTCCTAGAATTCAGTATGTAGACCAGGTTAGCCTTGAACTCACAGAGATCTTCCTGCCTCTGCCTCCCGGGTGCTGGGATTAAAGGCGTGTGCTACCACGCCCGGCTAAATGAGGTAGTTTTAAATTTCAGGTAATTAATTTAAAATTTTTTTGTTTTATAAATATTTACTTGATGTATGAGTATATATGTGCACCATGTGTGTGCAGTACCCACAGAGGCCAGAAGAGTGTGTCAGATTCCTCTGGAGCTAGAGGTAGATGGTTACAAGCCACCATGTGAGTGCTAGGATCTGAACCCAGGTCCTCTGCAAGAATTCTTAACTGCTACACTATCTGTCCATGTCCTGACAGACACTTTTTGAAATTATTTTTGCTATGATTTTTTTCCCCCAGTGCTAGGGATTGAAAGCAGAGCCTTGTGCATGGAAAACAAGTGCTGTGATTCCCATAAAGTTAAAGATAAGTTTCTTAGAGGATAACTTTGTAGAAGCATTCAATTAAAATATAACCAACCTGGGAAGGTTTTGAGATGTGAACTGGGTACCTTAGACTCCATGACAGATTATCAGTGCTTCTCTGGTAGGAAGTGTGGAGGAGAGGAGAGTTTGGAAAGCCTATAACAGAAGAGAACACGAAGAAGTGCATGCCAGGGATTGAACAGTTTAAGGCTTTTTCACCTTTACCACAAGACACATGCCATTTCTCCTTCAGTGAAGATGAGGGGACGCAGTAGGCTCTCTGGTTGGCCTGAACTTGCCGTGTGGACCAGACTGGCCTTGAAATCATAGAGATCTGCCTCTGCATCTCAAGTCAAAGATGTGTAACACCAGGCCTTCTCATCTTTGTTTTTTTGTGGGTTTTTGTTTTGTTTTGTTTTTCAGACAGGATCTCATGTGTCACAGGCTGAGTTCAAATAGTGTGTAACTGAGGATTAACTTGAACTTATGATCCCCTTACCTCCACTGTTGAGTGCTAGGATTGTAAACAACCTTGTCTGGTTCATGCAGTACTGGGGACCAAACCTAGGGTTCCCAAGGCAAGCAGTCTACCAACTGAGCCACATCCCAGCCCGGTATTTGTGTTACCTTTGAACTCTATTTTAGTGAACTCTAGATTCCATTGAACTGAATTTCTATAACTCCAGCTTAGGGCCTGGGTGGGAGGGCAGTCTTTCGCCCTCTTGTCTTCATAAGCACCTACATCACCTACACTTGTGCTTGTGCACACAGACATTACACATATGCATGTAATTAAAACCGAATCTTTGGGACTGGAGAAATGGCTCAGTGGTTTAAGAGTACTTACTGCTTTTCCAGAGGACTTGGGTTTGGTTCCCAACACCCACATGGTGGCTAACCACCATCTGTAACTCCAGGTTCAGGGGATCTGGCACCCTTTTCTGGCCTCTTCAGGTATTCCACAACATGGCTACACTTAGAAATAAGCAGGAAAAAACACGTTAAATAAACAAAATATTTAAACTATTTTATTATTTTGGTCACATGTTTGAAAATATTGTTTACTCTTCCAGTGGAACTCTTAAATGATTTATGCCTGGCCTGTGCCATTGAGTGAGTTCATGATTACTAGACCCTATAGAAGAAAGATTAGCTAGTTTTCTTAAACTTCTTTTTGCGTAGATTTCTTTGAGTGCTCTCAGTTGTGAAGCACTTGTTTCAAAGGCCAAAGAAAACCTTTGAGTACACCAGGTTCTCCCCTGGTTGTAGTACTAGTCACGTGTATTTTCCTTTAAGAAACAATTTGTTATGAGCAGAGCCAGAATGTCACATGACAGCAAAACAGAGCTGGCATGACTGATTAAGAACCCTCCGAAATATTTTCTGTCTGATAGAGGTATTAGATTGCTAGTGAATTTTAGTGGTACAGAGTTTTTAACTAAGTTGCCCAAGCTTGCCTGAAGCTCGGTTCTGTAACCCAGGCAGGCCCCAGACTCTGATCCTTCTGCCTCAGCTTCCTGGGTGCTGCCATTGCAGGCAATACTACCACCACTGGCTAAGGATGAGCCCTCCATTGACTCTACATGGTAGATCTTTTGCCAGCAGGTCTTAAGATGGGAAACAGACTTGGGCAGTAGACTACCACTGTCTTTGCCTTTTAGGTATGTGAAGTACGGCTCAGGTCCTGTTCGGTTCCCACTCCCGGACATGCTGAAATACGTTATTGAATTTGCGAGTACAAAACCTGCCTCTGAAAGCTGTCTGTCTCCAAGTGACAAGCACTTGACCTTACCGCTTCCTTCAGTGCACTGCCCAGTTTCTGATCTCGCTTCTGAGGAAAGGTAACGCACAAACTTCTTGAGTGGTTTGTATTGTTTCGGAGGTATAATTTGAAGTGTGTTCCATCTTTCCACCTGGTAATCACTCACCCATGAGAGCGTGAAGAGTCCTGAGCTTTGTCTTCAGAGCATGGTTTTGTTCACCTCACGGGGTGGCAGTGTTCTTCCTTCTAATGCAGGACGGTCTCCTATCCCAGGACGGTCTCCTATCCCAGAGGCTTCTCACTGTCCTGGGTAGTGATCATAGTCTCCCAGGACTGCCTGGTTCTGACCTAACTGCCACGAAAGGCCCTTCTCAAGAGTGTCAGACCTGTGCTTCCCTGCCAACTCGCCTCCCATTTATGGTGAAGGAAGCACAGCCGGGTGAACGCTGAGAAAAACCACTCATGAGCAGAGAGTTAAGCACAAGAAAGAATGGCTGGAATTCTGAGGACAAACCGTGAGAGGCTGTCTTCTGAAGACACAGCATAGCGAGGCCAAGTCCTGAAAGTCCTTGGATTCTATTTCCCCTCAGCCAGGTCATTATAGCTTAAAGGAGCCACAAGGTTCAGCTTACATCCCAGGCCATGATATGTGTCTATCCTCGCTAATAGAAATACCAGTATATATTTGTTACCATAGAGAAGCTTATATTTAATTTTAATTTATTTATTTTAAATATTTTATTATTTTTATTTTATGTGTATGAGTGTATTGCCTACATGTGTGTGAGGGCACCCGTGTCGTGCAATGCCACAGAGGTCAGAAGAGGGCTTCAGATGGAACTGGAGTTAAGCACAATTCATAGCCGCCATGTGGATGTTGGGAATCAAACCTGGGTCCTCTGCAAGAGCAGTCAGTGCTTTTAACCACTGAGCCATCTCTCCAGCCTCGAGAGGCTTATATTTAAAAACTCATTTGCTGGGGTCTGAAAAGATGGCTCAGTGGTTAAGAGCACTTAACTGTTCTTGAAGAGAACCTGAGTTCAGTACCCAGCACCCACATAGTACCACACAACTGTGTATAACTCCAGCTCTAGGGGATCCAGTACCTCTGGGCTCATCTACACTCAGGTGCACACATCTACACCCACACATACTACCACAGGCATACACACAATTTTAAAAATGTTCACTGTAATCTTCTCTAATATTAATATTTATTAGGCTTTAAAATGTGTGTGTGTGTGTGAGAGAGAGAGAGAGAGAGAGACAGAGAGAGACAGAGAGAGATTTTCTGAGATTGAGATACCAGCTTTGCCATGATTGAGCTTATCTCTCTACACCTGTGGGTCCTTAGGAAAATGGGCTTCTTCCATTTTTACATGGCAGAGTGGAGAGTGAGGATTTTTTTCTTAATTTCTTAAAATTTACTTATATTTTATATGTTGCTTTTTAAAAAATATTATTTTTATGTGTATATGTGTGTTGCCTACATGTTTGTAAGTGCACCATGTGTGCAATGCCTGAAGAGGCCAGAAGAGGGCGTCAGAAACCCTGGAACTGGAGTTAGGGACGCTTGTTAGCTGCCTTGTGGGTGCTGCGAATTGAACCTCGGTCTTCTGCAAAAGCAGTCAGTGCTTTTAACCACTGAGCCATCTCTCCAGCCCTGAGGATTTAAGTCAAAGCTAAAGAAAGTTATGTTCCCCAGTTTGGGTGTGAAACAGAAACCTAAGTATAAGTAGAAACTTGTTTGATATTCCTGTGGGTTTGTCTGTGTACAGTTTCACTTTGGAATATTAATTGGCAGTGATTAAATCAGCATTTGCTTTGCATTCTTTACTTTGTTTACAGCATCCATGGGAACAAATAAAAGATGTGGGGTTTTGCTCTGGGTTTCACATCTGTAATCGATTCTAGCACTTGAGTAGACAGAGGCAGGAGGAACCAGGAGTTTAGGGTCATCCTCTATATAGTGAATTCAGGGCCACCCTGGGCTACATAAGACTCCATTCCCTTATCCTCCAGTAAAAAAGTTAGCACTTTGTAGATGAGACATCAGATTCTGTACCTGAAGCTAGTCCCTTTACTTGGACATTTAGCTCAGAGTATAGAACCGAAGCTATGTTCTCCAGTGGTGACCTACTGTGTTTTCACCTGCGTGGGGAGTACAACTGGAACTTTCTTTTCTCTGCTTCTGTGTATTGTTTCTGGATAAATAGTTTAAACAGTTACATTTTGGAAATTGTACTTGATAATTTGGTAACTTGCTTTCATAACTTGCTTGATTTCTTTTTTACATTTTTTTTGAGATGGTATCATATAGCCCAGGCTAGTCTTGATCTTGCTGTGTATTATAGTTGAGGGTGACTTGGAATTCCTCATCTTCCTGTACCTCCCAAGTGCTGGGATTACCAGGCCTGGTTTATTCAGTGTTGGGGATTAAACCCAGTGTCTCTTGCCTGCTAGACAAGCATCCTGTCAACTGAGCTGCGTCCCCAACCCCTTTGTATGTGCTTGTTGTTAACTCTGTTTTGAGACAAGCTCTTACTGGGTGGCCTGTGCATGCCTTGAATTGGAGGTCTTTCTGCCTCCATGTCGAGACCTGGAATTACAGGCACAAGCTGCCATGCTAACTTAGTTTTCTTAAATGTTAATTAAGTTAGTCGTTGATAAAATAGTGCTAGTAATAATTTTTATCACATAAATAAGGTTATGTTAAATGAGATGATTCATATGAGAAAGTTTGCTTTAATACATGTATTTATTTTTAGACAAGACCTCACAGTGCAGCCTTTAACTTGATCCTCCTGTCTCAGCCTCACCACTACTAGAGCTTACAGGTAAGTGCATCTCTGTAGAATCAGTACTCACTAAATAAGAGCTGTACTTTTTCATATAGCCGCTTGTTTTGTAAAGCACACTAATTTAGGTCAAGCAGGATTTTCTTTTCTTTTTTTCTTTTTTGAAACAGGGTTTAAGTATGACAGGGTGACTTTGACGTTATGGCAATTCTTCTGTGTTAGCCTCCTGAGTGTTGGGATTCCACCACCACACCCAACCCAAGTCGCATTTCAGACATGATGGTGAAACGAGCACCGTCTTTTTATCTCTGCCAGTGTATGTCCAGAAGACTCTGCTGAAGACACTCTACTCAAATCTGAGGTAATGAATGGGCCGCCTCCCTCTCCTCGGTCTTCCCTGGAAATGCCTGCGTCCCCAGCTCCTCGGACCATCACGGAAGAGGAGATGAACTTTGTTAAGACTTGTCTTCAGAGGTGGAGGAGTGAGATTGAACAAGATATACAAGGTTGGCCTTCTGAAAACCTGTCAGCTGCTCCCTTGTTTCCTGTTTGACTGTTTGGAAGCTAGGCGCCCTGGAGTTCACCCTGCCACTGCTGGGCATTCTGTTGAGTTTAGAGCTGCTGATTCTGACTTCTTTTGCAGGCTTCCTGCCCTGTAAGCTTGGTTCTGTGAAATTCTGCTTTCCAGATTCCTGCCACAAAAATTTCTAGAGATTCATAGAAGATTCTAGCACTCATTGTTACCTTTGCTGCTCAACACTGTACTCACTCCCCTTGCACATCCTTTCCTCCTGTCTCTCCTCTGTGCTGCAGGGTCTCAGAAGTGGCCTTGAACTCATGGTCCTCCTGCTTCCAGCTCTGGATGCTGGGATAGCAGGCCATAATTACTATGCTGGCTTGATTTCTTTAAATGTTAAATTTGGAATTAATGATAAAAGGGAAAGAAATAATGTCTTCCTCGTAACCAAGTTCTCTTAAATGGGATGACTTTTTTTAAAGTTTGGTTTTAATTTTTTTTTTTTTTTAAAGAAAGTGTTTCTCTTTGTAGCCTATGCTGGTCTCAAACTCATAATCCTCCTGCCTCAGCTTTTCCAATGTGGGATTGCAGGTGTGAGCATCTTTATAGAATGATGCTCACTAAATCCTAGCTTTCTGTCTTCCCTCTGTCCCTTCTATATGGTGACTATATGCTCTACCTGAGCTGTATCCTCAGCCTAGACTTTTCCATATCTAATTTTTGTTCTTATAGTACTGTTCCTGAATGCTTGCTTTAGTTTATCAAACTTTGTGGAAGTTTTTTCCTGAATTGAGACAGTTTCTGTTTTAAGACATTCTGGTGCCAATTACAAGTTTTTTGGGTTTCTTTGTTTTTTGTGGGGTTTTTTTGTTGTTGTTTTTTGTTTTTTGTTTTTTTTTTTGTCTTTTTGAGACAGGGTCTCCCTGTAGCCCCAGCTGTCCTGGATTCACTATAGAGACCAGGCTGGCCTTGAACTCAGATCCACCTGCCTCTGCCTCCCGAGGGCTGGGATTAAAGGCATGCACCACCATGCCTGGCTTAAGAAATATTTTTTTTAAACCTTAACATAGTTAAATTAAAAGCCTTGGGGCTAGAGAGATGACTCAAGTGTTTATCTTAACTTGCTGCTCTTGCAGAGGACCCAGATTTGGTTCCCAGCACCCTCACAGCAGCTAACAACCTTTTGTAACTCCAGTTTCAGGGGATCCAGTGCCCTCTTCTGGCCTCCAAGGGCATTGTACACATGTGGTGCACTTACATACATGTAGGCAAACCTCTTATACACATAAAATAGAAATAAATGTAACACTACAAAAAAAATTTTAAAGCCTTTCTAACCGACATCACTCCCTGCTTTAGCACTGCATGCTGCTTTGTGATTTGGTGGGAAGCTGAGAGCAGGACTTTGGGTGAAGAGAAGCGGTACTGTTACAGTGGCTTGGCTTCTGGGCCCTGGAAGCTGGTAATGTTAATGGAACTTTCTTTCTTAACAGATTTGAAGAATTGTATTGCAAGCACCACCCAGACTATTGAGCAGATGTACTGTGATCCTCTCCTTCGTCAGGTAGAATGAAAATTCATGGGAAATAATCAAGGCCCATGCTAATGGCAAATACCCACAAGAAAATAGACATTTTCTTTGAAACTGAATGTGTGTCTCCCCAAGATCAAATTACGTTGTTCCTTATGTCAGGTTAAAGAATGCGGTGTGTTTCCTACATATAGGAAAACTTAAGCACCCTTGTTCTGATTCTGCCGTGTGGTGCTTTTTTCATATAGTAGATTATCTATTAGGGACTGGAGAGATGGCTCCGTGGTTAAGAGCACATAATGTTCTTGTAGAGGACCTGAGTTTGGTTCCCAGAACCACCTGTAACTCCAGCTTCAGGGGGATCAGACACCTGACCCCTGTGGACACCTGTCCTCACATGTATATGCCAACATGCAGACACATGCATACACAATTTAAAAAATAAAAACAAAACTGGGGTTGGAGAGGTGACTCAATGGTTAAGAGCACTGACTGCTCTTGCAAAGGACCCAGGAGGTGGCTAAAAACTTTCTGTAACTCCAGTTCCAGGGGCTCTGACACCCTTTTCTGACCTCCACAGGCATTGCATGACATGGGTGCACTTACACATATGCAGGCTATACACTCATACACATAAAATAAAATTAATAAGCATTTTTTTAAAAGTCATAAATGGGACTGGAGAACTGGTTCAGCTGTTAAGAGCACTAGCTGCTCTTCAGAAGACCCAGGTTTAATTCCCAGCACCAACATGGCGGCGAACAACTGTCTGTAACTCCAGTTTGACGGGAATCCAATACCTCTTCTGACCTCCGTGGGCATTTCATGGCATGGGTGCACTTACACACATGCAGGCAATACACTCATACACATAAAATAAAAATAATAATTTTTTTTTTTTTTTGTCTTTTTGAGACAAGGTCTCCCTGTAGCCTCAGCAGTCTTGGAACTCACTATGTAGACCAGGCTGGCCTTGAACTCACAAAGACCCACCTCCTCTGCCTCTGCCTCCCAAGTGCTGGGATTAAAGGCATGTGCCACCACGCCTGGCAGAAATGAAATATTTTTAAAAAATCACAAGTGAAAATGTGGCAAGATTCTGATAAGAATGTAGGCCTGGAAAGGCCTCCAGAAAGGTGTAGTTTAGCTGTCTTGTTCTCGTGATTTAGGGATTGGTAGCTTCCAGGGTTGTGTTTTCATTGGTTCATCTTGAATTAAGATGACTAATGTGAACCCCCTGTCAGGTACATGTGTGAATCATCATTTTCCTCTAGTTGGTACTTGGAAGCATCAGAGTTCTTTGCTCAACATGAGCTTCCTGTCTGGTTGCAGGTGCCTTATCGCTTACATGCGGTTCTTGTTCATGAAGGACAAGCCAACGCTGGACATTACTGGGCTTACATCTATAATCAGCCCCGGCAAATCTGGCTCAAATACAATGATATCTCTGTTACTGAGTCTTCCTGGGAGGAACTTGAAAGAGATTCTTATGGGGGCCTGAGAAATGTCAGTGCTTACTGCCTGATGTACATTAATGACAAGCTACCCCACTTCAGTGCAGGTAAAATATCTGAATATAACCCAGAGTTTGGGGAAAAAAATCTATATTCCTTAAGAGGGGAACAATGTAACATGATTTAAAATATACAATGTAAGAGGAAATAAAAAGGAAAAACAAGTTTACTTTCCTACTTTTTAAATTAGATATATGTTTGTTTGCATGTATATATATGTACCGTGTGAATGCCTAGTACCTGCAGAGACTAGAAAGGGGCATTGGATCCCCTGGAACTGTAGTTACAGATGGTCATGAGTCATTTTAGGGGAACGAAACCCATGTCCTTTGCAAGGGTAGCAAGTGCTCTTAACTGCTGAGCCACCTCTCCAGCGCCCCCAGCTTCCATCTTTGACCCTCCCCAACAAATATACACAGGTTTCTATGTCATCTTCAAGAAGTGTTTTATGTAGGGGGCTAGAGAGATGGCTCAGCAGTTAAGAGAACTAGCAGTTAAGAGAACTGGCTGCTCTTACAGAGGACCTGGGTTCAGTTCCTAACACCCACTTGGGGGCTAACAACTATGCAACTGAGGATGACTTTGCACTCCTGACCCTCCTGCCTCTACTTCCCAGGGCTGAAATTGTAGCTCTATGCCACCATACTCAGCTAGGATCATCTTACCAGGTTCAGATGCAGTAGTTAAATTGATAAAAGTATTTAGCTTAAATTTTCTATCAAATTATTGATGTTCTTTTTTTTTTTTTTGGTCTTTTTGAGACAGGATCTCCCTGTAGCCCCAGCTGCCTGGAACTCAGTATGTAGACTAGGCTGACCTCGAGCTCACAGAGATCCACCTGCCTCTGCCTCCTGAGTGCTGGGACTAAAGGCGTGAACTACCACATCCAGCTAATGTTCAATTTTTAAAAGAAATATTGGGGGCTGGAGAGATGGCTCAGCGGTTAAGAACACTGGTTGTTCTTGCAGAAGACTGGGGTTTGAATCCCAGTACCCACATGGTAGCTAACAACTGTCTATAACTCCAGTTCCAGGGGATCCAACGGCCTCTTCTGTCCTCCAAGGGCACTGCTTGACACAGTTGCACTTACCAACATGCAGGCAATACACTCATACACATAAAAAATAAATAAATAAATAATAAAAGAAAAATAAAATAATAAATAAAAGAAATATTGGCTATATCCAGTGACTGACCATGATAAATAATTGCTCTATATTGTATTTTGTCATTCATTCATTCATTCATGCATGCATGCATGCATGTATCCAACAGACATTTAACAAGTGCCTACCTTTTGTTAATGCCAGGCACGGTTACTGATGTTCTGTGTTTGTTGGCCTTGTATTGTCAGTATTTCTGATGAATTATGGATGTTTGTATTTTTACCTAAGGCCTAGAGAAAGGTTGAAATGTTCTGCTTTTCTTGCTCTGGTTTTACCTCTTTCTGGATGGCACTCTGTTTTAGCTTTTTTTTTTTTTTTCCCTCAGAGGCAGCCGCTAATGAATCAGATCAGATGGCGGCAGAGGTGGATGCCCTGTCTGAGGAGCTGAAGCAGTATATTCAGGAAGATAACTGGAGGTTTGAGCAGGAGGTAGAGGAATGGGAAGAAGAGCAGTCCTGTAAAATCCCACAGATGGAATCTTCTCCCAGCTCAGCATCGCAGGACTTTTCCACAACACAAGGTATCCAAGAAAGGCATTGTGCTGGGGGTTAAGTAATAGCCTTGCTGCCCCCAGCTACCCCAAATACCTCAGCTGGCCAGGGGATGGCAGTCTTTTCTTTTTAATTTTTTTTATTACATTTATTTTGTGTGTTGGGGTTGGATACATGCCACAGGGGATGTGTGGAGATCGGGGGACAACTTGTAAGAGTCAAATTCTCTCCTTCCGCAATGTGGGTCCTAGGGAATCTAACTCAGGTCATGAAACTTGAAGACAAACATCTTTATCCACTAGGCCACCTTGCTGAGCCAGTATGTCAGCAGATTTTGTTTATAGTTGCTATCCACAATCTGGTGCATTTGCTTTTTGTTTTATTTTGTTTTGTTTTGTTTGAGACATGGTCTTACTAAGTAGGCCTGGCTGACCTTGTTCTCACAGAGGTCTGCCTGCCCTCTGTCTCTCCAGTGCTGGGATTAAAGGTGTGCACCACCACGCCCAGCTCTTAAGAATGTGCTTTCTGATGAACAGAAATATCAGAAAGCCTGTACTGTGTGTGTGTGTCTGTGTGTCTGTGTGTGTATAATTTTTTTTGAGGAGGGGGTCATATTGAGACAGGGTCTGGTCTCTCTGAGCCCCAGCTGGCCTGGGACTCACTATGTACACCAGACTGGACTCGAAGTCATGTAGTTCACACCCAGCAAACTTTATGTGTATTGTTTTGCTTATTGCCCAAGTTGTTGGAAAAATAAGGTAAGAATTAAAAGTTAAACTTACCAGGTGTGGTGGAGCACACCTTTGAGCCTAGCACTCAGGAGCAGAGGAAGGTAGATCTCTGTGAATTCCAGGCCAGTCTGATCTACATAGTGAATTCCAGGCTAGCTTGGGGCTACAGGGAGACTCTTATCTCAAAAAACAAAAAAAGTTAAATGTTATGAAAACTTCTCCATAGGAAGCCTTCCTAACAAATGGCTAATTGAAGGAACCCTTGGCATGAAGAAATAGGACAAAGTTGGGAGGACAGTAAAATTTAGCCTATCTTTGTGATTCTTGCTGTGGAGAGCAGTTTCTTATAGTCACAGTTTCTAGGGGGACATTTATATACGCTTTGAAGAAAAGTTTGTTGGGCTGGTGTACTAAACTAAGTGTTCTAGACCTTTTTCATGGGCTACTGACACCTCTGTGTGATTCTTTGTCAGAATCCCCGGCAGCAGCTTGTCATGGAGTCCGCTGCTTGTCCTCTGAGCATGCTGTGATCGCAAAGGAACAGACTGCACAGGCCATTGCAAACACAGCCCGTGCCTATGAGAAGAGTGGCGTGGAAGCTGCGCTGAGTGAGGTGAGACCTAGGGAGCCCAAGGGATCTGCCTGCCTGCAGAGGGCCTGGCCTTCACCAACCTCCAGCTTTCCTCATTCTCGTTCTGAGTCTCTGTTGAATTTGACCATGCCTCTTTATTTCTCCTGTTTTTTTTCCTTACTCCTTCTCTCTATTCTGCTGCCACAACTTAAGGAGGCTGAACCCGAGAAGCCCAGACCCCAGGAAACAAACCTTGCAGAGCAGTCAGAACAGCCCCCAGAGGCTAATGACACAGAGTCTGCTGCCCCACCCAACTCTGAGGTTTCTGAAGTGGAGATTCCCAGTGTGGGAAGGATTCTGGTTAGATCTGATGCAGATGGCTATGATGAGGAGGTACAGAGACGAGTGCAGGATAGCTCTGTGTTGTCTTGTGCGAGGTGTCTGCCAAGAGCTAATTTTCTCACTGAAACAAATAACGGACAGGGAAGCCTGTCTGATTTTGACCTCAGTTACCATTTTCCAAAAGGTATTCCAGACCTGTTCCTGCTGCTGTGCACTGTTCGCATGTGTGTGTGCATGCATGTGTGTATGCATGTGTGTCCATCCAGGTTTATGTTGAGGGGGCTCCTACAAAGCCTAGATCACTAACCCCATATGGTGTTATGGACAAATAATAGCTTGTTTTTTGATCTCAGTCCATTGCTTTGTCTTTCAAATAGAAAATTTCCAGTTGTTCATTGAGCAAAACAAATGCGGATTAAAGTTAGTTTGGGTTTCAATTGTAAAGGTCGGAAAGCAGCTGTAGAACCCAGAGTTACTCAGCCTACCTCCTTTGCAGCTGCACTGCGCATACACAGTCAGAACTCCTGCCTGTCGGCTTTCTTCCTCTCTTTGCTGTGGTTTTTTTCTTCTTTTTTTAAATGGTAGTTTTCAGCTCTTTAAAGTTCGTCTATTCATCTTAATAAAACTAAAACACTTGCGATTTAAGCCACACACTCCTGCAGTTCTAGAACTGAGCTGGAATTCTGACTGCAGATACTTCTCCTTTGAGAACTTTTTTTTTTTTTTTCTTTTTGGTCTTTTTGAGACAGGGTCTCCCTGTAGCCCCAGCTGTCCTGGAACTCACTATGTAGACCAGGCTGGCCCCGAACTAACAGAGATCCACCTGCCTCTGCCTCCCGAGTGCTGGGATTAAAGGTGTGCGCCACCACGTCCGGCCTCCTTTGGAGAACTTTAACATAACTCTTGAGCGGTGCCCCACTGGGATTATTTATGGACTTCTTCCTTGTCTTGCAGAATTAGTACATGCAGGGTGTAGGGGCAGCTTGTCTTAGGCAAGATGTTGACATGATCCTAGGGACAGCAGAGGCTATGCATGCACCTAGGAATAGGGATGCGAAACTTGACTCCTGCTGGCCGGAGACCCTGCTTGCTCTGCTTCCCATCAGCGCTTTGTACACCGTGCTCTTAACACAGTCTTCTTTTCAACCTGTCTCCTCTCCTTTTTCTCTCTTTTTTGTGCCCTCTTGTGGTAGGTGATGCTGAGCCCTGCCATGCAAGGGGTCATCCTGGCCATAGCTAAAGCCCGCCAGACCTTTGACCGAGATGGGTCTGAAGCAGGGCTTATTAAGGTATTTCTGTTTTAAAATTTCAGTCCTTATAACCCAGCTATCATAATACTAGGCAATACTTGTAAGACAGTGGGGAATGATACTAAAAGTGTCCTGGACTGGGGAGATGACTAGTCAAAACCTACTTTTAAAAAAAAAAATGTACAGGGGGCTAGAGAAGTGACTCAGTGGTTAAAAGCTCAACTGCTTTTGTGGAGGATCTGGAGTTCAGTTCCCATCACCCACATCAGGCAGCTACAACCACCTGTAACTCCGGCTCCAAGGATTCTGACGCCTTCTGTGGTCTCTTCGGGTACTAAACTCAGGTGTACAACCCCTTCCCCCAAATACACATAATTAAAAATAAAAATAAATTACTAAAATAAAAAAAGAAACCCCAGGCATGGTAGTACACACTTGTAAGCCCTGTGCTGGGGAGGCAGAGCTTGGGCAGGGGGAGGTGAGTGAGAGACCTTGTCTCAAAAAAACATGGAATCTGAAGAATGACACTCAAAGTTGTCCTCTGGCATGTGTGTGCACACCCACACACACGAAGTGAAACATGACACTGACATTCCCGTCCCACAACACTGCTGGCTCGTCCTCGCCTGGCACTGGCCCAGCAGTTAGCAGTGCCACTGTGCGTTGCTTTTGCCTCCAGGGGCTTTTGATGTGGTTGTTAGATGTCCATTAATAAAACTCTAAGAGACTGTACCTTTGTGATTTGGGGCCTTCATATAAAAAATTAGGTACTGCTATTGAAGATATTTGAAGTTTAAGACATATGAATAGAATTGTGTTTGTATGGGTTTTTTAAACAGTTTAGACTAAGAATTTGTTTTTAAAAACTTCAAGAGAGCCAGGCATGGTGGCACACCCCTGTGATCCTAGCACTTGGGAGATAGAAGATGCTGAGACAAACCTGGAGTACAAAGTGAGATCTCCCTCACCAAAAAATTTGAGTTTATTAGGCATATAATATGTCTTTGGTGCCGGAATTCTATGGAGTTATAATATGCTAACAATTCAAATATTAGTTGCTTTTGTAATTTGTTTTGTTTCACGCTTTGTTTTTTGAGACAGTCTTCCCTACGTAGCTCCAACTGGCCTGGAACTCAATATATAGACCAGGCTGGCCTCGATCTCACCGAGATCTGTCTGCCTCTACCTCCTGAGTGCTGGGATCAAAGGTATGCACCACTGCACCCACACAGCTTTTGTAATTTTTGATGAGAATTCCTTAACTTGTCACTGAGCTATGAGAGGCTCTAGCATTTCCATGTGGGTTTCTGTGCCTGTGCAGAAGTCCAGCATTCCCTTTGCCAACCAGGTCTGTCTCTCCTAGGCATTCCATGAGGAATACTCCAGGCTCTATCAGCTTGCCAAAGAGACCCCCACCTCTCACAGTGACCCTCGACTTCAGCATGTTCTTGTCTACTTTTTCCAAAATGAAGCACCCAAAAGGGTGGTAGAGCGGACCCTTCTGGAGCAGTTTGCAGATAAAAATCTTAGCTATGATGAAAGGTGAGAGGAGAAGCCCTAGGGCTCTTCGTCTTCCTGGATGTGACTAAACTCTTCCTCCACTGGGGAGGCACTGCCCTGCACCCTGCCATTACTCTCTGACTTTGTCCAATCAGTATTGACTTTGTCCACAGATCAATCAGTATTATGAAGGTAGCCCAGGCCAAACTGAAGGAAATCGGTCCAGATGACATGAATATGGAAGAGTACAAGGTAAGCTTTCTTTTTAAACTTCCCACAAAATGTTAATTCTGAAGGCAAATGATACTTGAAGCAAAATGGAATAATTTTGAAGTACCAGGCTGACTTGTTCCCTATAAAAATTAAAACTAAAGAGAAAGGAAGTGAGGCAGGGGAAAAAAATGAATAAAGCTCTTTTCTTAGCCTAGAATCCCAGATCCCTTTGTTTTTACTCTTCTGTTAGAATGATTCTGCACTCCATTTCCCTTAAGGACCTTCATGAGCCTTGTCCTAGGCAATAGAAGTCTTGAAGTCATGCCTATTATTTTTTTTAAATGATACTGTTTCTAATACTCATTAAAATGCATGGAGCTCCAGATTAAATTGAAAAAACAAAAGCTGTTATGTTGTGTTAAGCAGCATGTCGTGCCAGGCTTGTGTTCACATTTGCTGAGCTGGTGGTAGGTGTATATGACTTGGAATAGCCTTGTCCCTCCTTCACCCCATGTCCATGTGCTCTTGTCAGTACTTAAATGTCTTTTATTTAATCCAGAGCTGGAATGACTTGGACATGGGTGTTGGAAATTAGGAGGATGAACTGTAACACTTAGGAGAAGCTGTTCCTCAGTGGGAGAGCTACAGCACTGAAGATTAAAGTGGTAGATTTTATATTGTGTAGCCCAGGGCAGGCTAAAATTTGTTATGTAACTGGGGGATGGCCTTGACCTTCCTGTTCCTTCTGCCTCCACCTTTGAGCCTTGAGATCACAGGCACTCACTAAGATATTCATCTTTAAATTTTTTTTTTAATCTGAAAGTTTATGTTTGATGTTTTGGTAGTTGGCCAGTATAAAACTTAAAGCAGTGGTAAATGCAACAGTAATTCATTAAAAGTCATTAACAGTGGTCCTTTATTTCCAGAGGTGGCATGAAGATTACAGTTTGTTTCGTAAGGTGTCTGTGTATCTCCTAACAGGCCTGGAACTCTTTCAAAAAGGAAAGTACGTTGGCTTTTTCTTCACTAAGATTGCTAGTTGGAACACTGGTACTTACTGATGCCCATGCACAGTTACACAAGTCACTGCCCCGCATCCCTGTGTCATACATACTAGTGGCTTCTACTTTTTCTCTGTGCTTCATTTCAGCCTTGCTCTGAACATCACACTTTCTTTGTCCTTCACACAGTGTTAAGTTCATTAGTGAGGAGTTGGTACTTTGCTGGACTTTCTTTGTGAGAAATGAAGATGAATTCAGAAAGTGGAATTTTTGAGTTGTCATGGATCCCAGTGAACAACTAGTCCCTTTTGTTTTAGAGATGGCAAAAACTTGAGACCCAAATAAGTTTCCTGATGATCTTTGCCTTTCTTGACAAGTTTCTAGAAGAACTGAGACTGGCTGTGGTCTTCGACTGCCAGGCTTTTCCCAGGATACCACCAAAAGATATTTGTATTGCAAAAAACTGAGGTCTAAGCCCTAGATTTTGGCAAAGGCGATAACTCAGCTGTGGTGTGTCTCCCATTTCCTAAGGTACCAAGAAGCACTGTCCTACCTGGTGTATGCCTACCAGAGCAACGCTGCCCTGCTAATGAAGGGGCCCCGAAGGGGGGTCAAGGAGTCTGTGATTGCTTTATACCGCAGAAAGTGCCTTCTGGTTTGTACTGTTTGTAAAGTCTTCGTCTCTCCCCATCCCTCCCTGCTTCCCTCCTTCTCTATCTAGTTATCTCTGTGTATCATTCTGTTTCAACCTCTGACAGAAGTTGAGGCAACCACACTTCTCTGTGCCCTCCCATACGCCTGCATTAAAGCTTTTATCATATTACTTTCACTAGATTAAGAGTTTAGTAAGTGCCGAGCCTTCATCCTGTCAGCTGTTCTTTGGGCCTGACACGTACTAAGTATATAGTGAATGTGTGTGGAAAGACTATTTTTCAGAGTTGCCTATTAGCTAGGAGGTGAAAGTTTTTGGAACTTGTAAAATAATCCAGTTTTATAAAAATGTTTTGAAACATAAAAATTAGTCTTGCTGTTTATTAACAGTGAGAGATAAAACAAACTTCCCTAATTTGTATTTGACAGCCATAGGGAAAGGCAAGTGTAATCCCCTTTGCCTGCCCAAGAGTGTGTGTTGTGCTAGTCCTTCATGGACATAGCAAGAGGTGGCTTGGCTTGCCAGCAGGTCGCGCACTTAGATTCGTGTGTCCAATATTCTGTGTGTCAGACCACCATTCCGATGCTGCCTTGGTCTTGTTTTCAACACCTCAACATCTGTATCTTCTGACTGAAATATTCTTTGATTTGTGTGTCAGTTATATGTGTGGCAGGGCTACTTTGAAGCTGAGAAAAGTAATACTGTGAAAATAGGAGCCATCCTTTTGGATTTTAAGTTACCAAGTACACAGATGGACATCTTTAATGTTCTAGTCCTCTTCCCCATCTGTGCAGTAATAGGGAAGATTTAGACTTTCCATCACTGGCTCTCATCCTCTGTGTGTATCAGAGTTTCATAGAGGTGCTTTTAAACATGGGTGCTATGCAGGCCCTTTCTTGCCCATACAGCTGGACAGTCTGGGGAAAGGCCTGGGTATCAGGGTGTCTTCTGTGGGAGGGTTCACTGGTCAGTGAAGCTTGAGAATCTTTAAATAGGTCTTTCGGTAGAAGCAAATTTCAAGCATGACTTTGACTTGTAAGTTTAGGCCAGTGAGTCACAAGCTTAACTATATTAGAATCATTGTGGGAGCTTTTATAAAATCCACTGCCCGGGTCACCAAGTACTGATTAAGTCAGCACATCTGAAGTGGAAACCAATGATTTCAGTGACTCCACTGCGCTAAATGGGGGGACCATTACCTTTTCAGACTTTCTTCCCTTACTCTCTCCCTTTTATCTGTAGGAGCTGAATGCCAAGGCTGCTTCTCTCTTTGAAACAAATGATGACCACTCTGTCACGGAGGGCATTAATGTGATGAATGAGTTGATCATTCCCTGCATTCACCTGATCATTAATAACGACATCTCCAAGGATGATCTGGATGCTATTGAGGTCATGAGAAACCACTGGTGCTCTTACCTTGGGAAGGATATTGCAGGTGTGTGGTATTGGTGCCCCTTATCCTTTCTACGGTTTTGTCATCCTAGAAACCACAGTGGTCTCACTCTTTAACACTGGTGGTTATAGCCTTTTAGGGGATTGGGACCCCCTACCATCTAAGTGAGAAAAATGGATCTGCTCTGTGTGTTTAAGAGTCTGGGCTCTTTGCTCTTAATCTCCCTTCCTCCCCCAGCTGCTGAAGCACTTCCACAGGCAGCCAGCAAGTCCTGTTAGGTCATCATTACATTTTGCAGTACTGGGGATAGAACCCAGGACCTTGTACATGCTAAGTAAACACTCCACCACCGAGCTGCATACTCAGCCCCAGCAAGTCCTGCTTGAAAACAGTCAGTGCTCTCTAGGAATCTGATCTCTCTTACAGTTTAAAATAAAAATCTGGGGGCTACAGAGATGGCTCAGTGGTTAAGAGCACTGGCTGCTCTTCCCAACACCCACAAAGTGACTAATAACCACCTGTAACTCCAGTTCCAGAGGATCTGACACCCTCTTCTGACCTCTGTGGGCATTGCATGCATGAGTCTACTTACATACATGCAGGCAAAACACTCATACACATAAAATAAAAATAAATTAATTGTAAATGTCAAAATATTTATGCAGGGTCTGATTATTCGATGGTACTTAAACTAAATTTTTCTGAAGTTTAAAATTGTAAGATACAAGACTTACTGATTTTTGGGGGGGGATTTGTTTTGTTTTTTTGAGACAGGGTCTCCCTGTAGCCCCAGCTGTCCTGGAACTCACTATGTAGACCAGGCTGGCTTTGAACTCACAGAGATCTGCCTGCCTCTGCCTCCAGAGTGCTGGGATTAAAGGTGTGCACCACCACGCCCAGCTAGACTTACTGATTATTTTAAGAGTAATAAATTGGTATATGGAATATCTTTGTTTATCCAATGTGTCTTGAGGAAAGCCTAGAGCATTATTTGTGGGTAAGTAAGTTGATTGCTGAGGTGTGTTTTCTGATAAGAACCTTCCTCATTAATTTCTTGCTCATGTGAAGATAATCCAGTGACTTGTTCACGTGTGTAGTATTTATTGATACATTCTATAATAAGCAATTGCTATGTGTTTCCTTTTAACATTTGTTTTTATTTTAGATTACATGTAATATGCAACTTTATTTAATGTTATGTGGACATACTGGTATATTTAAGCATTTGAAAAAAAAACAGCACCATTGTGTATATGGTACAGGGCATCATACCCACTTTGTCTAGTTAAAACAATTGCTTAGAAGACCTGGCATGCTAATGAGATAGCTAGGAGCACTGACCTAAAAGGGGCCTTGATAGTTGGCAGTCAGGTCTTTGCCCCTGGTTAGCCTAAAGCAAGATTCTTAAATTTCATCCTGGAAATTTTTATGTAACCCCAGTATATAGGCATGTCAAAATAGGTACATAAAACTTTATAAAAAAAATCAGAGGGAAATTTATTTTAAAACAATTATTTGGCATAAATATGTTACTATTTCTTTAACATAACAAATTTGCATACTAATGAGATGGGCTGTCTCTTTATTTTTACATAAAAGTGTTAAATCTTGACTGAAACTGAACCTGTAGGGCACAGAGTATCTTCCATGTTTCTCAGAGTTGGTTGATGCTTTGGTTTCAAAATTGTCAGTGCTGAGAACGCTGTTACAAATAAACATACAGTGCAAAATGGTACGTGTGCTCAGAGCCATTTCAAAAATGTTGGAAATTATGTCCTAACCCCAAGCCAAAGTTCACTTAATGATTTTTGTTTTATTTTGTTTTCTTGAGACAGGGTCTCCCTGTAGCCCCAGCCAGCCTGGAACTTGTTACGTTGACCAGGCTGGCCTCAATCTCAGAGATTTGCCTGCCTCTGCCTCCTGAGTGCTGGGATTAAAGGTATGTGCCATTATATCCAGCCACTTAAATGATTTATAAAAATGAAACTCAAGCCAGGCGTGGTGGCAAACACCTTTAGTCCCAGCACTTGGGAGGCAGAGGCAGAGGCAGATGGGTCTTTGTGAGTTCCAGGACAGCTGGGACTACAGGGAGACCCTTTCTCAAAAAGACCAAAAAAAAAAAAAAATTAAACTCAAGTTAGCAACTCAAACAACAATTTTTAAATCAAGCATTTTAATACAATACAAACCAAAAATACACTGATTTGATGCTTATATGCTGAGGAATAATGGTGGGAAAATGTTTTTTTAAAAAGTCTTGGGGCTGGAGAGCTAGCTCAGTGGTTAAGAGTGCTGACTGCTCTTGTAGAGGACCTGGATTCGATTCTCAGCACCCATGTGGCGACTATGAACCATCCTTAACTCCAGTTCCAGGGGAATCCAAAGCCCTCTTCTGACCTCCAAGGCATTGCATGACACGGGTGCATTCATATATATGCAGGCAATATACTCATACACATAAAATAGTAAAAATAAATAAAATATTTTTTTAAAAGCCTTTTTTGTGATTAAATCACTAATGTTTCTAGAAGAACAGAGAACTCTGGGTTTGGGACCCATGGTTGAAGGAGCTGACTTCTAAAGGTATGGGGCGCGCCGTCCCGCGGGGATCGGTCCCCTGCACGTGCCCTGGAAGGCAGCGAGTTCTGGGCGGGGATTCTCAGTCGCGTGTCGCTGTCCGCTGCTTGAGGTGCTGAAGGTCTCGCAGCACCGCGGCTCCGCGTCTCTGTTGTGGCAGCGGGTCTCAGCTTCTCCGCTGCTTCCCTGCGTCTTCCGTGGCTCTCTGCTGCTGGAGCTTTGTCCAGCTGGGTCCCGCCCTTATTTCACCCGTGCACGTTCCTCAATATGCGAGTTCCACCGGCCGCTGGACCACGCGGGAAAGTACAGGGCGGCTGATGCTGAGTGTCCGTGAGTCGATGACAGAAAGACAGCTCTTCCCGGGGAGGCTGGATCATAGGCAGTGAGACAAGACTCAGCTCAGTCAGATTCAGTGGTACAGCTCTTTATTCAGTGTCCCAGCTCTAGTTCCTAGCTCCAGCTCCTTCTTCCAGCTCCAAATTATTGAGAGAAGACTAGGATATTTTATACTGTAGGGGCAGTGGTAAAAGCTTTAGCTGATAGGTACTTTGCGAGATACCCTATTTACATATGGAAGTGGGCTCCTGCCATGCTGCCAGACTGCCTGAAAAATCACACAGGAAAGCGTGGCATTTCCAGAGCCAGAGGCCATGTTTATGTGGCTGCTACTTCACAAAGGAGTCAGGAAAAATGCCGGGAAGACACCCTGTTGTGAAAGGAGTCTCTACATATGGCTCCGAGCTCGTGAGCTATCCGGACATGAAGAAACTTCTACTTTACACAACAAAGGCCCCCAACATAAAGGAATCATCTTTTAGTTGTCAGCGGAATACTTTGACATTTGAGGCAGAATGTTGACTATTTGGAGTCCTTCAGGTATACTTGCAGGCTTCTTGGTTTTCTCTCTGCTCTCTTGAGCTGTGTATGTGACCATCTGTTTTCCTCTACAGAAAATCTGCAGCTGTGCTTAGGGGAGTTCCTCCCCAGGCTTCTAGATCCTTCCGCAGAAATCATCGTCTTGAAGGAGCCTCCAACTATTCGACCCAATTCTCCGTATGACCTTTGCAGCCGGTTTGCAGCTGTCATGGAGTCAATTCAAGGTGTTTCGACTGTCACAGTGAAGTAAGCACTTCATGTCAAGGCCCAGCCTGGTCTCTGGTTGCTGCCTGTTGCACAGCAATTCTCTGTCACAGATTCACCTGGGAAAAGAGACCAGGCAGATGAGCAAGATTCAAATCTATACCCTACTCATGATGCCTGTTAAAAGAAGAATTAAGGACTAAGTTGCACTTCTTAGGTACAGAATCATGAAAGCTATTTCACTAGAAATGGCAGGAGCCAGTATATTAAGGTTTTGCATTATACCAGGAGACCCAGACTTTATAATTTCCTGTGATACTAGGGCTTCTCTAAGCCTCTTGCCACTTTTTAAATTACCCTTCAGGCACCAGTATTTCTGACAGCAGAATAGAAGAGTGCCTCACCAGAATCTGAACCTGAGGAACAGCTAGTACTTCATCGAGTGCAGGTGACATTCAAAATCCATAGCTACCAGAAATTGGTAATAGAAGCCTTGCCTGGCTCTTGACAGGCAATGGAAGAGGTGCTGATGAGCCTCAGTCCTCTCCATGTGGGTAGAGCCTAGGTCGTGTGGCAGCAAGTGCCACAAAGCCAAGGGGCTACCTCTCCTTTCGTTCTTCTGTTTTGTATTTTAAATGAACCAGAAAACCTCACACTCAGTCTTGAGTGAAAGAAAAGAAAGCATTAAGGACTTTCAACTGAAAGGCATTATGAAGCCAGAGTAGCATTTTAATAGTTGTTAAGCATGTAAGCAGAATTTTCCAGTATCTGAAAATTGTCAAAAATCATGTGTCTAGGGCTACTCTGGCCCAACAGAACAATTTGATTCCCCTCTCCAATTTTTTTTTCTTTTAGAAATAAGGAATGTTGATTTGTAAAAAGAAAAGAATTATCTATATGTATATGTAGAGAGAAAACCGTTTTTAAAGGACTCCTAATTGGGAACTAGTGTTTTAACTAAATTTTAAAGATTAATGGAAGAGTCGTAGGAGGGAAGAACACTTGATAAAACTATGCAGATTTTATAAATGTGCAATAAAAGTATTTCTTTTACCTTTGGTGTGCAGTGTGGTCCTTATTTAAATCAGTGTTTCTCTTTTGAAAATGGATGATCTCAGTAGGCATTTATCAGATTTCAGCCTTATTTTTAAAAAAATTGATAATTCTCTTTCTGTTCTCCTGCTCTTTTTTAATTTTTAATTTTTAAAAATATTTATTTTTATATATGTGTTTTGCCTGCACATGTATAAGTGCACTCATGTTGTGCAATGCCCATTGAGGCCAGAAGAGGGTGTTGGATCCCCTGGAACTGGAGTTACAGACAGTTGTTAGTTGCTATATGGGTGCTGAGAATTGAACCCAGGTCCTCTGCAAGTGCTCTTAACCACTGAGCAATCTCTGCAGCCCCCCTTTTTTCTAAAGATTTATTTTTATTTATGTGTATTAGTGCATGACGTGTGTGCAGGTGCCCACAGAGGTTAGAAGAGGGCATTGGATCCCTTGAAGCTGTAGTTACAGGCAGTTGTTAGCCACCTGATGTGATTGCTTGGAACTGAGTCCAGTCCTCTGGAAGAGCAACAAGTGCACTTCACTGCTGGGCCATCCCGCCAGCCCCATGCTTGCCTTTTTTAAAATTTCATTTGTTTTGTGTGTGATTGAGTTTGTATGTTTGCATTTGTGCACGTGTGGCGGGGGGAGCTGTGTACAGGGTTGAGTGTTATGCAGCATTTAGATTAGTCTGACCACTAGGGGTAGTGCTGATTCTTCATTTCTGAGTCTTCCTAGCTGTCTTTAGTACAGCCTCATTTTTTCCCAAGCTACATGAACTAAGGTCTCAGACAGTTTCGGTTTTTTGAGACAGCCTCTCATGGAACCCATCCTGACCGCAAACTTGCTGTAGCAGAGAGTGGCCTTGAACTCCTGATCTTGTGTCCCTCTCCCAAATGCTGGGCCCTCTCAACTGTTTTAAGCAGCTGTTAGGCAAAGGCTTAGACTGTTCTGTGATGCGTTTTGTTGGATTTTGGTGTTTTATTTTCTTAACACTGGGTCTTAGTAGCCCAGGGTAATCTCAAACACACTATGTATATAGCCTTTAATTCTGTTTCCCCATAGTGTGCTTGCTATGGCTTTTGGCAGTGAGATTATTCTGCCCATCATACTCAAGGCCCTGGATTCGATCCCAGTACTGGGGCAAAAAAAATTTACTCTGGCTTTATTTGAAGGTGAGCTCTCTTTTTCAGAGTGCAGCGTGCTCACCATTACACAGTGGAGCCTGCTGACCCCTCCTCTTCTTGCTCTGGGGAAGAATTTGGATAATAATTGGATCTTTCTTCCATGGTAGTGTTCAGAATTTATTACTGAAGTGGTCTTGGCCTGTAATTGTCATTGTGCGTGTGTATTCTGAGGGTATGCTTTGTTTTTATTTTTGTTTTTTTCAGTCTTTTTGAGACAGGGTCTCCCTGTAGCCTCATCTGTCCTGGAACTCACTATGTAGACCAGGGTGGCCTTGAACTCACAGAGATCGCCTGCCTCTGCCTCCCAAGTTCTGGGACTAAAGGCGTGCGCCACCATACCCGGTGAGGGGATGCTTTGAACTCTGGATCCTGCTGATCAAAATTAAACTTAAAATTTAACCATTTTTATCTGAAACTAAAATATTTGTAAATTTATAAGAGCATCTTGAGGGTTGGTTGGTTTGTCTAATGACTAGGATCTGGGGTTGGGAATTGTATTAGGGTTCTCTAGAGAAACAGAACTGAGAGAATGAATATGTCATATATATGTCATATATATATGTGTGTGTGTGTGTGTATAAAAGATTTATTAAATTAGCTTATGCAATATGGTTGAAATAGTCCACTAGCATTTGTCTCAGTCCACACTGAGAGCCTGGGAAAGTTGGTTCTAATATCAGTGAAAGGGTCAACTGCAGCATCAAGGAGAGCCAAGTAAGCAAAGAGAGTAACCGTCCTTCCTCCATGTTTTTTAATGTATGCCACTCCCAGAAGGCTTCTCCTACATTTGGGGAGCATCTTTCCACATCAAAGCAGTCAAGATACAAGCATGGTCAACCTGATGGGGAAAGTTCCCCAATCAAGGCTCCCTACTTCAGCGATCTAAGCTGTGGCAGGTTGACATTTAAAACCAACCTCATGGGGCTATAGCTCGGTGGTAAATCACATACTTAGCATATGTGAGGCCCTGGGTTTGTGTGCTATGTCTCCTTTTGTCACTCAGGCAGGGTGACTCCTGTCTTTTCACTTTTCTTTTTGATTAGTATTTTCAGGGGCCTATTAATCTGTTTTATTTTTAAAGTATTCTATTAGTCACTTTTCTGTTGCTGTGATAGAAACACTGACCCAAGCAATTTATAAAAGGAAGAATTTATTTGAGCTTATGGTTCCAGGGGAATTACAATCTGTCATGGCAGGGAGGCATGGTGGCTGAAGGTGGCTGGGGCAGGAGCAGCAGAAGCTAAACTCTCATCATCCCACAGGCACAGGAAGTAGGAGAGCAATTGGGAGATCCAGCAAGGCTTAAATACTCTCTAAGCCCATCCCTAATGACGTGCTTCCTCCTGGATAGCCACACCTTCTAAAACTTCCCCAAACAGCACCAACTTATAGGGACAAAATGTCCAAATACTTGGAGCCTATGGGGGACATTTTCATTCAAACCATCACAATTCCACCCCCTGGCCCCCATAGGTTCATGACCATATAAAATGCAAAATGCTGCCGGGCTTGGTGGCACATGCCTTTAATCCCAGCACTCAGGCGGCAGAGGCAGGTAGATCTCTGTGAGTTCAAGGCCAGCCTGGTCTACGTAGTTCCAGGGGGAGACAGCTGGGGCTACAGGGAGACCCTGTCTCAAAAAGACCAAAAAAGCAAAAGCAAAATGCATTTAGTCAAATATTAAAAGTTTCCATAGTCATTATCAATTTCAATACTATTCAAAAGTCCACAGTCTCTTCTGAGACTCAGGTAAATATCTGAACTGTAAGCCTCTATAAAATCAAAAGACAAATTACATACTCCCAACATACAGTGGAACCGAATACACATTACCATTCCAAAAAGGAGGAATGGAGGCATAGTAAGGAAATACTGGACCAAAACGGCCAAAAACAAGCAGGGCAAACACCAAATCCAGGAGCTCCATGTCCAACTTCTGGGACTTTACTTCCCAAGGGCTTAGATGGCTCAGCCTCTCTACCTTTGCTGCCTGCAACACACATCTCTCTCTTGTGCTGGTACCACTCCCTGTATGCAGGTCTTCTTGGCAGATGCCTCACAGCTCTGGCATCACGAATGTCTTGGGGTCTCAATTGCCAACCAGGCTTCACCTTCACAGCTTCACACAATGGCCTATCAGGGCCTTCTCTAGGTAGGTGAACCCCTGCTGCAAGTTGCCTGGCCTCCGAGGCTCTCTGAAACCTCAGAGGAAGAACTGATGACCTCTTCACTCTTCCATTTTTCATACCTCTAAAGCCAGCACCAGGGGAACGACACTGCCAAGTTTGACTGCAAGTGTGGGATGGACTCCAGCCTGCTTTATCCATTTTAGGTTTTCTCTTCAGTGGTCCCTGCAGCATTTTGCTTTCATAAGTTTGAGGCTTAACTGGGTGTGGTATTGCCCTGGAGGCATTCTCTCTATTGCTTAAGTTCAAATCGCTACGCCCCTCCTTAATCACTTTAATCTCCTTAATCACTTTAATCTCCTTATCAATGGAATCCTCTCCATCACATGCCAGGGCTCCAACATTAATCTTCCTAGTGCTCTTTTTCAATCCATCCTGTATATTTTGTATTTCTTTCTGCCCCATTTGCTCTTTTTCACTGTAAATCTGTATAATATTCACCATTAATAGCCACACCACCATTTCTACATTAGGCTGTCTTGAAATTTCTCCCG